ACTAAGTACCATTTCATTCTAGCGCCGGCATCCCGCGCATATGCACTAGTCTTTCTTGTTCACTGACTTTAAATTGTCGCCATTTTGGTTGCTCTATGTTGTGTTTTTAGTTTGCTGTGCACATTCAAAATGTTTAAGACAATTAATTCTCCTGCTGACTGTGAGATTCGTGCTGTGATTAAATTTTTGAACGCGAGGAATGTTAAACTGGCCGAAATTTATCTTCAAGTGACAGAAGTTTACGGTGAATACGCGATAAGTGATGGAATGGTGAGAAAGTGGGTAAGAATGTTTAATGCAGGTCGAACAAATGTCCACGCCGAGGCTCGGAGTGGTCGGCCTTCTGTTGTCACCGATGATTTGGTAAGGAAAGTTGATGAAGCAATTCATGAGAACAGACGCTTCACAATGACAACTCTTTCAGAGGCATTTCCACAAATTTCACGTTCCACAAATTTCGAAATTGTGTCTGACCGCTTGAATTATCGCAAACTGTGTTCCCTGTGGGTTCCAAAAATGCTCATTGATGTTCACAAAACAAAGCGACTTGGTAGTGCCCTGACATTTCTCACGCGGTACAGTGATGAATAGAAAACTTTTTAAACCAAACAGCCCGGACTTGGTGCCGTCCGACTATCACTTGTTCCTGCACATGAAGCGCGAGCTTGGTGGCAAACGCTTTGGATCTGACGATGACACGAAAAATGCTGTGGAGTCGTGGTTATCGAAACTGGCGGGAAGTTTCTTTGACGATGGTATACAAAAACTGGTCACCCGCTATGACAAGTGTTTGATCATTGGCGGAAACTATGTTGAAAAATAGTTTAAGACATGTATTTTCATGTAAAAATAAAATTGGATTCGAAAAAATTGTTTTACTATTTTTTTTTTTTCAAAATGGTACTTAGTTTCCGAATACGCCTCGTAAAATTATATTGAATTCGGCCATGTCTATCTGCAAGTCCAATACTTCACCTATACAATAAAATTGTCCGAGTTACATCTATGCTATCATTCCCAAAATGTTACATCTCTCTCTATATATATATTGCACATATATCTATAGGAATATATATATATATATATGTATATTATTAGGAATTCTAAGAATTATGAACAGAGTATACATGAATTTTTTATAGTCGCCATAGTATTTCTTTAAAAATGCACAGTGGTAATATTAGGTGGGAATGTCCTTTCATTTGTATTGCAATTAATTTTTTTGAATATTTGCTGTTTTATTTCCTTAAAAATAATAAATGGTGATGGCATGTAGTGACAACTTCCTTTTATTTGAAAAATGATATGGATACTTAAGTGAGGATCGGGTCTAATAGTATCTGTAATGCTAAAAATTGCTGGTGGTCTGGATGTCTTGATATTAGATTATTCTGAATATTGGACATCTGGATTTTGGACTTTTTACTGTACTTCTAGTTACAGAAATGTTTTAAATGATGCAATTATTTATGTTTTAGCATTTTTAAATTGGTAAAAAGACCACTCTTGTAACAAATATGAAATCTAACTTTATTTAAGTTTCTTTGGGCTTCATGCTTATATTTAGGAAAATATTATACTAATTATAAAAAATAAATATTATTCTCATATAAGAGAGTTGATTATGCTAATATATATTTTAAAACTGGAGATCATATTCAGGATCTATACACAAACTGAAGAGTGAAATGTTTAAATTTGTATATAAAAAAAATGAAATATGTTTAGAAAGTTTTTTCTGCTGCTGATAGATTAAGAGTATTTCTGTGTGGAATATTGTGAAAAGTATTGATTGATATATTTGTTCTAAGGGGGGAAAAATCTTATTTGCAGAACCTTACGGAATTCATTCCAGAAAACACTAGCAGGTGCTGGTAGGTAGCCAACTATTAATTAAAATTTGAAAATATTTCTTGTTTAACAAAATTTTTTTTTGTACTAATATCAAATCATGGTTTTAAGGAAAGAAAACTGCATGAAAATAGTAATAACATACTTAGTGTTTGAAAATTTTTTAATTATTTGTGTGAAAATTCTTTCAGCATTTCACTTGTAACAAAATTATAAATTAAAGAATGTTACACACTTATAAATAAAGAATGTGATTGTATGGCATTTAAAGAAAAAGGCATCAACCTCGATCCTCAAATAGTCCGCATTTTAAATTTAATAATCTATAATTTTATGAATTAAATTATATATAATTGATGATTGTTTAAACATTGGTAGTATGTAATTTTAAAAAAGGTGTTTTAAAGTATCGTGGTACAGAAGGATTTTTTGCACTGTACCTAATATTTTGTCACTTTAATAAACCTTGTGGTGTAGTGGCCGAAACGCTATGCAAATCCTGGGTTGTGACATCAGGTTCAAAACAAAACACAGCATAAAAATTTTATTGAACGCAAAAAAAAAATGGCTACATAAAATTCTGCAGAGAAAAACCTATCTAACTCAAAAAAATCAAATTCTATACATTTTACCTGCAAGAGCAATTCGTGGCCCTCGAGCTTGCGTTTTTAACATTGCCAACGATTTAATTATTTTAATAAAGACTATTTTAATAACTATTGAAAACGTATTTTGTAAGTTAAAAAAAAAAAAAAAATTCAGCTTATGCTCACGAGACATCCTTGTCCATATAAATCTTCAGTATCTTCTTCTTTTATGTAACCTTATCACAACCTAATAAGGCATCTGTTGTCATTATGATTTGGTAGATTTATTACTCTTTAATGGCATTAATATTTGTTCTTTAAGATTTTTAGTTATCTGTCAAATTAAAACATGTTGCTTTGTTAACTGAATAATTTAAAAGTAGTGTGTGTGTTTATTAATAATTTTACATGAATACTTGAAATAGATTATACTACATCTGATTCATATGAATTATATCTAACTGATAATTTTTCAAAATTTAATGTCTTTTTTGTAAATAATAAAAGATGTTTTTAGGCCAGCTATTATTATATACTTCAGTACTGGATAATTATTTGCTCAACAATTAGTAGTGTATTTAAAAAAAAAAAAAACTATTTGATGCATAATGATGATAATTTTAAAAAATGTATTCTTTAGTCTCAACATTGCAGATTTACATTGTGACACCTATTGTTAGATTTCAGAGAGTGCTTAGTTTATAATTTTATAGCTTGTTCTGTGTGTTCTTAGTATTAGGTACCAATAAATTCCCTATATGAGCTATTGTGATGTGATTGTGTAAGTGAAATTTCAAGGCTTGTGCGCACAAGACTACACTACCAACAGCTAATTCCTCGAAGCTCCTTGAGACACCCTTAGGCTCAGACTCAGACTATTGCTCTTCACACAGACAACTTAAGACAACTTCCATGGTTCTGCTTAACCTATTTATACTCCTATGCTTATCTGAAATATCTACGTAACCATCTTGAGAGAACGAGCCGTGTGACTTGGTAAAGATGCCAATTTAAGAAAAAACCAGATTGTTAGTTAAAATAAAGTAATCACAGCATTATGCAAATTATGTGCATTTCATGTGATGGTCAATGAACTTATTATGAATTAAATATGTGAATTATTAGATATAATGAAGTAATAATCGAAAATTAATGTATTTTACAGCAGGTATATATACCAAATGGACTCAAAGAATCAGATTGAGAACAATAAGCAAATGTAGTTTACGACCAAACAGAAATAAAATGTAGCTGCTGTTTACTTTTATATAAGCACACACACATATACATGTATATAATAAATAGTCACTAATAAATTGTGAACAATTTGATGATTTTCTTTCAAAATATAGACTGCAAATTCGGTGAGACATTGATTAAGTAATTATTTCAGTAAAGCAGGAAATAAATTTATTAATGAATAAAGCAAAATATTCAAAGGTTGTCTTTTTAAAGGGAGGGATGTCTTTATGGTGGACTTTCTAAAACTGATATTCATTTTACATTTTAGAAAAACCACAAAAATATTAATGTAGCTAGCCCATTTTCTGGAATTTGAACTCAGGTCAAACTGTCTGTATTTGGATGTTCTGTCTATTCGATTACTGATGTATCGATAAAGCAGTAAAATTATTTGGTTCAGTTAAAAAATTATAAATTGAATCAATACTTAAGCAATATTAAAAAAAACTCATTTTAGAAATGCGTAATATTAAAAAATAATAACTGTAGAATTAGTGTCAATTGATGTTTGAAAACATGTACATGTAGCTATATTTAATGATGCAAATCTGTTTTGGTTACACTATGAAATTTCAGAATGCTGCTAAATTTTGTCATTTTCAGTGATATGAACTTGTAAAAAAAGAAACGGTAATAATTTTTATTGGATTAGCATTTATATTAACTTTATTATTAGTTCAGTATTCATTTTAAATTGGTATTCTTTTTAAATGTACAGAATCAGCTGTACAGTTTTGAAATTAATCTGAGCTTCAAGGTCGTGGTATTTTTCATGTTAGTTGCATGAGCTGCTAAATCACTAGATCATATTGATATTTAAAATTTAATCATGAGAATATTTTAAATTTAGTTATAATCTTAAAATTGTTTTAAGTATACATAAATGTGAAATTTTAAATTTCACATTTATCTATATTTAAAAAAAAGTAACGGTACCTTACTTTTTATTAATTATAATTTATTACTTTTTATTTATTTTTTTAATTTTTATTTATTTATTTATTTTCATAAATAAAACTTAAAATACTTGATTAGTAATATGTACTTTTATATTGATATTGTTTTATAAAGGATGTCAAAACTTTGTTATGTGTTCACTTTAACGTCCTATTATAATTTCAATTTTCACATCGGTCAGGTCTTTAGAAACTGAGAATTTATCTGATTACATTAGAAATTGCCAAGAATTGGAAGCTAAAGGACCAGAATTAATTAGAATGTGATAAGAAATTATATTTATTATGCCTTTATATATGTCAAAATATGTGGATTATTTTAATTATTTTATTTAAATTGATGATGATTTTTTTTCTTTTTTAGTGGTTACAGTGAAGTGAGCTGCTTTTCTACAAGTGGCAGTACGCCTAGTCAGCCTTCACCACCAGTTTTAAAAGAGGCATTTATTGATAAGTTAACTCTCGAGTGGCAGTCAAGGCCCAATGATGATAATTATACTTTGCAAATGGAAGATGATGGAACTGTGAGTTTTATTAATATCTCACAGTAGAAATGCTGTCTGTCTTGAAATACCAGCTTTTCTTTTTATTTTCAGTAAAATATATATTGTATAACGAGTTAGTTCAAGAGCGGATTATAAACTGCAAGCTGACGAAAGCATAAAAAATTTTCACAAACCCTGTGGTGCAATGCTAAAATCAGAATTCTTTGATATGTTTTTTACAATTTTCGATAAATGAATAATATAATATTTAAAAAAAAAGGGGGAGGGGAGGCTGAAGTGCCGTAAGAATGATTCTTCTCTATCTAACTGAGATTATTGTTATGTTACCTTCAGACACTTGCCTGCTAGGAAACCACACCATAGCCAATGATATTGTAAATTTTTTTTATTGAGTTAAGGAGTTATCTTACAGGTAATTATCAAAGCACATCAATGCATGACAATAACCATTTAGAAATAGGAGATCATTGAACCAGGTTATTTCTATGATAAAAGTAGGTAATGCATGAGCAGAAAGATCTTTCATTAATTATACAGATTTTATAAAAGTTAATAAAGTAAATGTATCCAATACGTGTTTAAAAAATTCACATTTCTTTGCTTCTGTTTCCTAGATTTTAAAGTTTATTCTTTTAGTTCACTTGCTAAGAATGCTTAGATTTTATAAGCATCTCATGATATTTTAGAATGATCCATGAACTAAATATACTACCATAGAATTTAGAATAGTGTCTGTGATGATTTTATGAATACCACACATGTGCACTGTAGCCAAACAGTACACATTTTCACCTCTCTCGTTATGCAGAGTCAAGATGATAGAAGAGAATGTTACGATAATGGAGGTTACATGCTGTATGCCAGCAGAATAGTGTTACTGACTTTATGTAAACTATATTTGTTTTTGTTCATGTTGTAATAAAGTGTTCGTCCTGTTGGTACATATGCTGTATGAAAATGCTCATGTTACGTTCATGTAAAATATGTCAAGAACCCACCTCATGACGGATATAGGACAGTGGTGTCAGAACAGAGGAATATATTTACAGTGGATTATAAATATCCTTTTGAAGAGTTCGCAAAAAATTTAAGAAATAGTTTCTTCAGTTTGTTTGATTGGAAATTGGAATAATAATAATAATAAAAAAAAGTGGATGAGGCAAAAAACTCAAAATTTAAGAAAAGCAAAAGTTATTCATTCAGCCATAACTAAAGTAACAAGTTGTTAACTTGTTAACGAAAGTTGATAACTTTTCAAATGTTATGAACATTTTGAGTATTTCGTTTGAACATTTTTTTAAGAGCTAAAATCATAGACCTTTGAATTTTTTAATATAATAACTGCTTATATAATGATGATAATGTTAAAGGCTTAGGTTGAAGGAAAAATTATTTGAATGTTACATCTTTTAATGATTAAGATTGTGTAATTTATGTTGAAATAACTTTAATTCAAAATAGTAAGAACTGCCTAATTTAAATTTGAAAATTTCATGAATATTAGTTTTTAAAAATTTTTTTTTTAAATTTTTTTGTTTTGTTTGTTTCAAGAAATGTTTATATGTGGATTTGACAGGTCATTGAAAGAAGCAATCAAATCTTTTAGAGGGAAGACGATGATTTCATGAGCAACACACATGCATACACACAGCTGAACAACACATGTTTTTGCTTCTCTCTCGCGTGACACAGAGTCGAGATGACCGAAGAAAATGTTATGATAATGGATGTTACATGCTGTATTCCAGCAGAATGTTATGCTACTAACTTTATGTAAAATGTTTATTTTTTATGTTATAATAAAGTGTTCATCCTATTGACATGTATGCTATATGAAAATGCTGGTATCGCATCACATTCATGTAAAATCTAGAACCCACTTTATGATGAATATATGACAGTGTCTTTCGTGACAAAAATCAGAATAACTGATTGAACTGAATTGCTAACTATGCATAGATAACTTAAGCATCTCATTTTAGAATGACCCATAAAATAAATATATTCTGGATGTGGGAATAGTGTTTTTTGTGACAAGAATCAGAATAACTGTGCTGAATGTTTGTGTGATGTTGAAATAATGTGCTAGTATCAAAAGGTTAAGCTAACTAAGCATAATGAGGAAATATTGTAATGCATATTTTCACAATCCTAGCTATGTCAGAGGCGTAGCTAGGATTTTCAACATTCGAAGTAGATTTCAGCACCCACAGTATTCTGCTCTCAGAGTATTCAGCACTCACATCATTTCAGCACTTGCAGCATTTAAAGATTTCATGCCCATTCTGTTTCCCAAATGCAGTGTGAAATGTGACTTCGGTGCTTCCTGGATGCTGCAACTTTGGATAGATGTTTGTTTCCCTTTGCCTCTTTAGTCATGCCACTGATTGCAGCTAATGTGTCGAAAGGTAAACTGGTAGCAAAATATGATTCAAAATTATAACCACAGTATAAAAATTAAGAATTTTATAAATTTTGTTTTGTCATTTTTTACAAAATTATACTTTTCTCAGGGCAGTGTGAATTTTATGGGAGAAATGTTCTACAAATTCATTTCTTTTCCAAAATAAATAGTGATTTTTTTGTTTTGTTTTTAAATTTCTGATTAAGAGCATTTTTCTTTTAAAAATAAAAATGTGATTTCTATAATGTACCCACTAAAGAAGTATGCAACCATTTTAAAAATATTATACAGAGTGGTAGTTCTTTGGAGTATAGGATGTAATTTAAATAAAAGTTTCACTATTTACAGTTTAAACTATGAGGTAACAGCACATATGCTCATGAGTTTTCTAGTTTGCATTATTATGAAGTGATAAATGCATATACAGTCATTTGGGTACTATGTCTGTAGAAGAGGGACGACTATACATTAAAATAGAAGTGTGTGAGGCAGTATTCCCAACGAAAGTTCTGAATGCTTTGCTGAAAACTCGTGATGGTCGGATACTAGATTGTAACACAGTCTTCAGTTGGATTTCTGGTTTTTAAGAACAGCATCTTAACATACAATATTACCAAGAACAAGTACACCAAAAGCATTAACAGATGAATTAAGAGTAAAACTTGAGGTTGACTTCTTGAAAAAGATGATCAAGCTTGTGCAGGAAAATATCACAAACTACTGGGATTTCTTCAATATCAATATGCCACATTTTGAAAGAATATTTGTAGGGGGGAAAAGGATTTGTATCATATTGATTCATCATTGCTTGATTGCTGATAAGAAATGGAAATGCCAACAGTGTGTTGCAGTAAATTAATGCAAAAACAAGGCAGAAGAATGGACAGAGAACTGATTTTGTTTGCTTAGGGATGGGCCAATAAAATGTGTATTAAAATGCATGCCTGTGCCTAGGAAATGTTGTGACCGATTTGCTGACCAACCATTAGTGAGAATTATTATTTCACCATCATACAGTCCAGACATAAGCTCGCCAAAATTTCATTCTTCTCTGCATTTAGATAACCTTTGTGAAGACTATCCTTTTTCTTTTTGGAAGTTTTTTTAAGCAATTATCTGAAGGCCAAATAAAAATAGTTTGTGATACAAAGAATGAGAAGACAGAGAGTGTATCACTAAGAAATGATTTGAAAAACTGTCTGAAATCAAATATATATAAAAAAAAAAAATGCTATACATTATTTTTTAAATGAGCTTCATATATGTATTCATGTTGCATTCATTTTAAGTTGTATACCTAAATATATATCTGTTTACGTAAGAACATTATGCTATCTATAGTAATATGATTAGTTTTTTAGTTTACACTAAAAGGTTTTGATAAAATTTTATTCTTTTCTCCTCTTAAAATTCTGTAAGTATGTATATTCATCATTTTGCTATCTCACATTGGTGATTCTGTCATTAATTTGCTTCAGCAAACATTTCTGTTTTGTAAAATCTTGTTTTATCTTCACGGTAAGCATTTGTGCTTACCGTGAAGATTTCCTTAACATGCATCTTGTTTCAAACAGAATACGATAAAGTTACTTTTTTCTTTGTTGATGTTTTTCCTTTTTTACTGTATTCCCTAACTCATGTTATTAATTTGTCTGTTGTTTTGGGGTTTAATGTGAACTTCTGTTAGCTTTAATTTATTACCCCTTTTATCATATAATCTATCTGCATTTTGTTTTTCCTTCTCTTCTGTGGGTTTGTAACTATTAGTTAGGCTGAAAGTAAGTGCAAGCTTAATAAATTAATTTACTTTTGTTCTTTGTAGCAGCTAGATTTTCCATGATTTAGACTATTGTCTGAAAGTAAGTGTGGGCAATTCTAATAAATTAATTGAATTTTGTTCTTCGTAGCAACTAGATTTTAAAAAAGAATCCTGCATTTGCATAATTTTGAAGTATGTTATAATAGATGTAGTGCAGTGTTAAAATTCAGTTCTGGATTAATGTTAACTTTAATTAAATTTACATTTTTCTGCAATAATCTGAAGTGGTTTTGATTTCCAAGGAAAATATTTTGAAGAAGAGAGATTTATTTCATGTTTTCTTCTAAAATGCATGTTTTAAATTAATGCCAATTTTGTGGCTTATTTTTAAAAATTCATTGTGGTAATCTGTTTCTTGCTTGTAATAAATTTTAATTTTTATATTTTTCTTTAAAAGTATTAAAAAAATTATATTTCTTGGAAGCATTGAAATATCTGACTGTTAGCATTTAATTTAAATCTAACTAAAATGTAGCTTAAAACTTGACCAGACTTTTTTATTCAAAAATGCTGATTGCATAATATGCAGAGTGGTAATAATTATTTAAATTACTGTATTTGCTGTCATGATTTTGTCCTATGTTTTCATTAATTTTACTACTCTGTTAATTGGTAAATATTTAAAGGACTACTGAATACTGTAGGTCCTGTATTCATGTCTAAGTGAGTGGGTTGGCTGCTGTTGGTGAACAGTTGATTCTTGTGATTTTTTTCATGGATAATGTGAATATAAGCCATGTTTCCATGCAAATTCTCCACCAAGGCATCATTTACTTAGCCAAATAGCCCTTGGTGTGCTTTGCCACATACAAATAGCCTAACCTACTAATTTTATCAGTTGAGTATCAAGAAGAGAAAATGAACTTATGATACTATTTCTGAGAAATGGTGTACATAATGTAATTTCTGAGAAATGTGTGTCATTTCTGATTCACACGTAAGTGTTGTATCTTTCCCGATATGTAATATGAATACAAAGCCACGTTTGCCTTAGAAATCCTCTAGCAAGGCATCCCTTTCCTTAGGTAGATAGCCCTACTTAAGAATGTCATACTCAAGAAACCTAACCTACTAATTTTATCTACTGAGTATCAAGAAGGGAAAATTATGCAATATATACCATTTTTTTAAAAAAGAGTAGCAAATTAAAATTAATATCAGTATGGGTAGCATTTAGAAAATTAAAATCAATATCAGTTAGGGTAGTAAATTAAAATCAGTATGAATTAGATGTTTTAATATTACTGTAATACATTAAAAGTCAGTTAGAATTATAGCTTTCAGAACTGTTCTTTTTACTTATCCATTGCATGTTGCTAATATATTTTGTTTCACTACCATAAATAAAAAGTTTTTAAATATGTAAAAATGCTGAAGGCAAACATGTATGGCATCTACTGTATTATGGCATATTTTTTAATACATTAAAATTACATTATTGTTTATTGGTTTTAAAGTAATTACAAAAAGCAGAATTAGATTTTACTTTTCTTAAAAATCTGAAAATTGTTTCTATTTTTATTTACCAAATTGTGTAGTTGCAAGTGGTATATATGAAGGGCATTTCTTTAAATATATTTCATTGCATAATTTCTGATATGTTCAATTTTTACCTTATTGAGATCATATGCTTGTATTTTTCCCCCCAAAATTTGATCATTACTTTCCCTTTAATGTTTCTCATGCTCCACTTATTTTATAGTTCCATGGATTTCTACCAGTATATAATGGGAAAGATACATGTTATACATGTCTGCGTTTGAGACGCAACACAAGCTACAAATTTAGAGTAAGTTTATTTACAATTCAAAATCATTTAATTAATCATGCTCACCTAAAATAAATTCTCTTAAAGAAGTTGTATCATATAAACAGGAAGTGTTCTATCAAGGGCTGTATTGTGTATACAAATTTTATTATTCATGAAGAGGGGATAAGGGAGTTATAAAAACTTGATCTATTTGACCCAGTCCTGGATCTAGCGGGGAGCAAGCCAGGGTCTGTGCCCCGGGCAGCAACTTCTGCGGCGGCAAATTCAAATGTTGTGCTGGATCGTATTTGGAATGTTGTTAATTTTGATACAAGATTAGTAGTTTTAAAGCTAGGTTTAAAAACCTCTTTTAAGAATCTTTATAATTAATTGCTAAGAAACCTTTTAATGGAGCAAACAGTTAAAAGAAAGCTAAGTATAGCTGAATGCTACTCTAAAGCTAAGATCAAAGAGAGGACAATAGAGGGATTCTGGGCATTACTGTCAATGTCAGATGACCCTGTACTCGAGGCTCGTGTCTCTGCCAACCCAACGCCCCCTAAATATAGTAGGTCTAGGGAGTGTTGACCAACGTCACTTGATTTCCCACTACTGTTTGCTTGCCTTGCCACAGGGAACAATTGCCTCTTTTATGCAGGCTCACTTCAGGATGCCTTGCCCAATCGTATACCAACTCCGTGGAATTAATTGAAGCCCCTCCCTCAGTTCTTCCCAATAACTAACAATGGCTAACATTTCCATCCTCCACTTCAGTGTACAAAGGATGACGGACTCCACCAAAATATATATATACAGGGTGATTATAATTAAAGTTTAAGTTTCAAAA